TATCTTGCACATAGTAGGTGTTTAATAAATACTTGTCGGATTAGATGGTGTTGATACAGATTCAGTGAATTATTGAGTTACTCCTCAGTCTGACCATAGCTGGTGTACTGTTTTCAGTTCTGGGCACCATATTTTAGGTAGGCTGTTGGTGAGGTTTAGATAAAGTAGTAGCCCTTCTCCTCAACAAGACCAAGTTTACAAGTACCATTGATCCTACCCCATCTTGTCTTCTCCAGCAAATTGCCCTGACAATTATCCCTTCTCTATCTCATCCTCAGTCTCTTTCTATTTGCTTGTTTCTTCCCTGCTGCTTTCAAACATACCCAAGTTCTCTCTTCCATTTCTCAGCCAAATACCTAGAAAAAGACATTTGTACTCGTTGCCTCTACTTCCTCTTCTCTCTCCTCAACTCTTTGTTGTCTGGCTTCTGACCTGATCACTCAACTGAAACTGGAGTCACCGAAGTTCTCAATGATCTCTTAACAGCCAAATCAGTTGAATTTTTCTCAGTTCTTATCCTTCTTGATACCTCTGCAGCACTTAGCACTATTAACCATTCTCGGCTCCTAGATACTTTCTTCTCAATTGGGTCGCTATCACACCATGCTGTTTTGGTTCCCATGCTATCTCTCTGACTACTCCTTTTTAATCTCCTTTACTGAATTGTCATCCACGTAATGCCACCTAACTGTAGGTTAGGTAAGTCTCTGTCCTTATCACTTCCCATCTAGAATACTACCATACCCTTCTAAGAGCTAAGTGACTCAACATGGAGGGCATGGGAATTAGAGTCAGGAAAACCTGAGCTCAAATCCTGTGTCAAGTATTTACTAGCTCTGTGACCCTAGGTAAGTCACTTAAGCTCCCAATCTCAGTTTCCTTCCATATAAAATAGAGATAATAATAGAATCTACCTCATATGGTTGTTGTGAGGATGAAGTGAGATAATCTACATAAAGTTCTTTGCAAAGTATTATTATTGATCTCCACACATCAATTTTCTCTTCATTCCAGTACATTCTCTATACAACTGCCAAAGGTATTTTCCTAAAGTTTAGCTCTAGCCGTATCATTACCTGTGGGCAGCTAGGTGGTATAATGGATAGAGCGCTGGGCCTGGAGTCAGGAAAAGCTGAGTTCAAATCTGCCTTCAGATACCTACTAGTTGTGTGACTCAGGGTCACTTAACCCTGTTTGTCTCAGTTTCCTCATCCATAAAATGAGCTGGGGAAGGAAATGGCAAATTACTCCAGTATCTTTTGCCAAGAAAAGCCCAAATGGAGTCATGAAAAGTCAGACATGATTGAACAACATATCACTACCTTACTCCTTAATACTTCTAGGATGAAATAGATATTCTACCATTTGGCATTTCAAGTCTTTCCTACCCTGGCCTCATCCTACCTTTCTAGTCTTATTACACATTATTCCCCTTTGTGAGCTATTTGGTCTGGCCAAAATGAGCTTACCATTTCTCGTACACAATGATCTATCTCCCATCTCTGCACCTTCACAGTTGCTGTTCCATTCCTTCTCCACTGTCATAGATTGATTCCATGAGCTACCTTGAGAGGCTGTGGGTTAGCCCCCTCTAAAGGTCTTCAAGCAAAGGCTGGGCAACCATTCATTGAGGACATTGTAGAAGAGAGCCCTGTTCAGGCTGGATTGGAAAGGTGCCTGAGATTCCTTCCAACTCTGAGATGATTCTGTGATTCTGTGAATTTTAATCCATGAATTTGCTGGTAGTACTGCTTTACGGACATTGATTTTTGCTTGGTCTCCAGTAGCTTTCTCCTACTTCTAAGATAAACGCACTGCTTAGTTTAGATGAAAAACAAATTTTATTCATCTCTTTTGTTTTTTACATTACTTTCATTTTTATTTCCCCTACCTAACACTGAGGTATCCTTTGCAACGAAGAATAAAAAAGCAGGAAAAAAGCAATTTAGTAGACCTAATCTGTCATTGGCCAAGCCTGACAGTATGTGCAGTGTTCCATTCCTTGAGTTCGCCACCTCTGCAAACAAGAGAGTGAGGTGCGTTTTCTTATGTCTTCTTCAGGATCAAACTCAGTTATTTAAATTCTGTCTTATCTTTCATATTATGTGTAATGTCCTTGTGGTCAGGGACTATTTCATTCTAGTCTTTACATTTAGTATGGTGTCTGGAACATAGTAGGTACTTAATAAGTGTTTGTTGATTGATTTTATCTTTTTAAAAATTTTTTAAAATTAAATTTCATTTTTATCAAGTATTTATCTTTTTCCTCCCTCCTACCTCCCTCTCATTCTTATTCTCCACCCCCAGTGAAGAAAAAAGAAACACAAAACCCTAGTAACAAATAGGCCATAATCAAGCAAAACAAATATACATATTGTCCATGTCCAAATATATGTGTCTCATTTTACATATGTAGTCTGTCATCTCTCTGTCAGGAAATGGGTAGCATTCTTCATCATCCATTCTATGGAATCTTGGTTGATTATTACACTGATCAGAGTTCTTAAGCCTTTTAAAATTATTTGTTTTTATGAAGTTATTATAGTAGAAATTGTTCTTCTAGTCCTGCTCACATCACTCTGCATCAACTTATGAAAATCTTCCTAGGTTTCTCTGAAACCATCACCTTCATGATGTCTTACAATACAATAGTATGCCATTATGTTTGTAACCTTCTACTCAAATGGATCCTCACAACAGCCCTGTGAAGCAGAAATTGTAACTATCCTCATCTGATAGATGATGAAACCGAGGTTTAAGTGATTTTTTCTAGGATCACACAGCTAATAAATGTGTGAAGCAGGATTAGAACTCAGGTCTTTCTGATTCCAATCAGCACTCTCTCTGATCTGCCATGTTACCTCTCACACTTTGGAAGCCTTAAAGTTTTAAATAGTAATAGGAGAGAAACATTTACTACGTGCCAGGTACAGTGTTAAGCACGGGAGGTGCAAATACAAGCAAAAAGAAAGACAGACCCTACCCTTAAGGAGCTCGTATTCTAACGGGGAAAGTAATTCACAAAAGAAAGCTGAAAAGCAGTGGGGGAGGGGCACGGAAGGGTGGCTGAAGGTACCCTATGAGGGAAAATAGGACACTCGGTGCGAGGCCACAGGGGATGTTCCAGGGGGCGGCAGTAGTAGCGGCATGATTTTGAAGTCTGGAGAGTCAGGAATAGGGCTGGGAGGGGAATTCCAAACGATGCTAATGCAGTTGACAATTTACATACTAGTACTTTGGGAACATGATCTCATTTGGTCCTTACAACAACTCCATGAGGCCAGAATCATGGGTGTTATCTCCATTTTACAAATGAGGAAACTGAGACTAAGAGAGTTTAAGGGTTGTGTCCACGTTCACACAATAAATGTCTGAGGCAGGATTTGAACCCGGATTTTCTTGACATCATGAGTCCAGCACCGTTCTCTAAACCATGACATTGAAAACTTCAAGGAAGAGTCTCTCCTCTGTCTCTTGTGTCTTTGCTAGTATTCAGCAGCACCAGGCACGTGATAGGTACTCAATAAATACTTATGAAATTAAATTGAATTGGATTGAGAAGTCTCCTAAGAACCAGATAGAACTCAGTTGTGTATTTTGACATATTGGACAAGGGCCAGCTGGAGTCCTCAGAAATTTCTTATATAACATCCAAAATGGCCTTTGTGGACCATTGCCAGGCTAAAGAGGATTGTGGAAAGATTTAAGGAGGTGAGGATGGTACATGCCAGGCCCCTGGCAATGCCTGCTTTCCATCCCATCCCCCCACCAAGCAGACACTCCCATCTTGTCTTTGTGTGGGCTTAAAGCAATTAGTCCCGAGATGAATGGCTTAAACTCTGTTGCCAGACACTTCCCCTTGTGCTACCAACGTCCCAGTCTCCGGTTCCTCCCTGAGTGTTTTCTATTTTCTGCTCTGTCTGGACAGACCCGATTGTCTAGCCCTGTCTGCTCCCAGCCTTCCTTAGGAAAACTATGCTCCCTCCCTCTGTGCTGATGAGTGCCCTGGCTGTTCCTCCTGCTCTGGGATGGATTCTTACATGTGTTGGGAAGCTAACAGAATGAAGACAAACATCTAATTTCAGTGACCTGACGGGCTGCCAGGGAGAGGAAAACCCTTGAGCTTTCACTATTCAGGTCCCACTTACCCAGAGCCAGGCTTCATTCATGTCTTCCTGCCCAGAGGCTTATTCCTTCACCACTTCCAGGAGCTGCGAGGGAAGGAGAGAAGGGGCAGGGGCAGGGAAGGAGAATTGAAAGAGAAGATGAGAGGGGTGGGATGAGGAGAGAGAATTGACAAAGAATGAAGGAGGAGGAATGGGTGAAGAACTGGCAGAGAAGATGATGGGAGAGGAGAGATGACTGAAGGAGGGCTGATGGAGAATGCAGAAGGGAGAGGGGAAGGAGGAATGATGAGAATGAGAAGGTAGGGGAGGAAAAGAGAGAATGGCTAGATTGATAGGAGGGGAGGAGAAGTCCAGGAAAACTGACAGAGGAGATTGGATTGGAGGAGAACAGTGTTTCTTTTGAACTGTCTGAATTTGGGCCAAATGAGCATAGAGATCTACCTGGGGAATATGACTGATGGTCCCAGGTATAATGAAAACTATAAAGTACGCTGGAAAAAGAAGTGAGGAAATCTGGGCTTTATTTCCACCTGGCTGTGTGGAAATAGTTAACACCTTTCATTCTCTATGCTTCAGTGTGGCCTTGGACAAATCACTCAGTTTCTCTGAGCCTCAGTTTCCTAATTTGTACAAGGAAGGTATTGCACTAGACCATTTGGTCCTTTCTTGTCCTGACATTGGATTTCATGGGATTCAGAGCTTCAGCTAGGGAAGTAACTGATCATTTAGTCCAATTCTCTCGGAGTGGGAGTGGCAGTCCAGGGGTGTGCCGATTTATAAATTAACCACCAGCTATCCAGAAAAAAAAATGTATATGCACCACACCTTTAAATTTAATCTGCATCATTAACATTTTTCTCCTCACTTTCTCAG